GACACATTCTCTATACTGTAATTATGTGCATTTGTCTTCTGAGGTGACCTGACATTTAGTTTGTCTTGGCCTGTCTCTTTAAAAACCCTCTGAGACCCACATAGGACATTTCCGTTTTAGTATATTTTTGTGTTTTGCCTAATAAATTGTCATTTATTTGCAGTAAAATCAAGTTTTACACATCCCAGAAATCAGCACAACCTCAGCTAATGATATGTGTCACTCATTAGAGATTTATATACACAATAATAGGGGATATTTGCCCATAAATAAAAAACGGAGTTTGAATGTTTTACTTATTTCATTAAAAATAACTGTTAACCATAACATTAAAAGAAACATTCAACACAGAAAATTGCACACATTTATTATCATTGTATCATAACTGATTAGAAGATTCTAACGTATTCTGTTCATTAGTTATGCCCATTCGTTTGGGCAGTGTCCATGGGCGTTTTTTTGCGAGGAATTGTCATTTTTTGTCCTGCCAATTTTGAAGAGTACACATGGCATGCTGAGCCGATTCGTCTGAATTTTCATCAACATTGTCCCCTTGAAAAATCTGCTCCAAAGCCTCAGCTCTAGTAAACGTCCTTGCCATACCTCAGGCTACTTTCAAAACACTAAAAGAACGTATTCCAATTTTTATTTTGTTTTCGCGCGTGGAATTATACCGTCTCTCGTTTCAGTACACATAACATCAGAACAGACAGGCAACCCTCTGAATCAGACTCCGATTGTCCGAATCAGAAACGTGACTCTTTCACTCTTTACGTCACAAACAAAGATGGTGGATGAGAATAGATCTATAAAAGAGAAAACGATAAGCAATGCGCCAGAATCAAGGTGAGACTATCTGCATCTTTTAAAACTCTACGCTCATTCGTTTCACCAAAATAAGTAAACACCTCTCATTTAAAAACTTAATGGAGTTGTTTCTTGCCGTTTCTGTAGTTTAAGAGGAATAACACGGCATGTCTCTGGCTGAAACAGCTGAGAAGTTATGACGCTTTGAACACAACGTGATCTTTGGGATCGTATACGGCCCCGTGGGTCTCAGAGGGTTAAGGCCTGGACACACCGGGCCAATTTCGGCCGTCGATAGATGTCTGGCCGTCGATGAGCGTCCTGTCGGCTTACTCAGATTGGTGTGTCCAGCACCGTTGTGTCCTCTATTGGTTGTGTCGGCTAAAGGCCGCCGGCCAAAGAAATCCCTCTGGTTGTTCAGCTTAGCGAATCAGTGCATGAGAAGCGAAACGGAAGTGAAGAAGGCACACACAGATGGCTAATATTTTTCATTTTCCAGTACCGCACTAAAAATGTTTTCGATTATAAGTCGTTATGTGAAACAGTCTGTGATGGAGGAGAGTGAAAATGGAACGCACGCTATTTGTTGTTTGTATATATCACGCAGTCTGTCTTCCGGTTAGTGATGTGTCGGTCGCGAACGAGCCGGCTCTTTTAAGTGAACGACGGGAGCCGGCTCTCGCCCGCGAACGAGCCATTTTTGCGGAGGGATCTAGATCGGCATGAAGGCACATTATGCAATGTGCAATGTGCACATTATCCCGCTTATGACATGGCCAAATTCTCAACAAAGTAACGACATGACTCCCAATATTAATGGAAATGCTTTTATGGATTTAGAAAATGATTTTATTGATTTAAAAAATAGTTTTATGTATTGATTTAAATTGACATGCATCCGCTAAGAAAATTAGTCCGTTGTTACCGTTTGAACTACGTAGCAACGGCAAGAACTGCTTCGATAGTGTTTTTGAGGAGCTTTTTGATTACATATTTGAAAACATCGTTGCTTGCTTTAAAAGTAGCACAATTCATTATGTCAAACCTTGGAAAGTATCTAGATATCCCTGCCCTAATGCCAAAGTAACTGGCAACTGAATATGTGTCGCCGTTTGATGTCTATGTCTGGACCGCTGCGTAAAAAGGAGGGTTTCTGCCCCATTACTTCTCTTCTTACTTCTATAAGAATAAAACACGGAGGACGGAGATCTCTTTTTCTCCCCATCTTTTGACAGCCCAGCAGCTGATCTCAAAGCACGCTCCCCTCTCCTGCAGGGGGGCGTGGTCAGCTGCAGCTCACGGAATCAGCCCCTGCAAAAACAGCGCTGGAAAGAGCAAATAGAGCGAAATGAGGCATGGCTAAAATGCAGGATCTTTTTGGTATTTTGAAAAAAAAACTATATTTATATAGTTGATATAGGTCGATACAGTTAGTAGTATTACACCTATAGTTTTTATAGGTGTTGCTATCTGTTTTGTGTAGTGTGGTTCTACAAGCAAGTCAATGCATTCATTGGGTGGTATCAGAGAGTTGCACGGTTCTGTAAATGCAATGAAAACAATTGGCCACAGCAAATCATTTATATTAAAGATGTAATTTGTACTTTTGAATACTTCAGTACAAAGGATGTATTGAATAATTTAAGTGATATATGTGTACACATATAAATCATTAGTCAAAACAGGGCTACTACATTTGATTTAATTAAAAGGTATAATATGTGGTAAACTGAAGAGCCGTTTGGGAGCCGAAAGAGCCGGCTCTTCTTGGTGAGCCGAGCCAAATGATCCGGCTCACCAAGAAGAGCCGGAATTCCCATCACTACTTCCGGTTGCCTCTTTTGAATTAAGAATACACACTACCGCCGCTTGCTAGTAAGGAGAGTTATTGCCACTCACGCATGCGCAGTGCGTACGTGCTACTTGGCCGTCGGCTGAAGCCTTTGCGGTGTGTTCTGGTGCGATTTTTTGGCCAAGACGCAGGAGACCTGAGGCGACACAACAATCGGGTCCGTCGGGACGTGTTCTTTGGTGTCAGTTTGGTGTGTCAGGGCCTTTAGATGTCTTACTGCCTAGATCTTTTTTGTTTCTGCAATAAAAAAGACAGGTCGGTAAATTGATACATTATCATGAAATCCCAGTCTGACAAGTTATATTCAACAGGCAATGTATTTTTCTTTTTCTTTCATTGTACATTGCGAAATGTAGATGTTAAACTTTAACTTTTACCTTTATAACCACAATAGTAGCTGCACTCTGCCTTCTGTGTTCACAGATTTGAGTGTTAGGTAAGATAATGTATGCACCCAACGTTATGTCTTACTGCATTTCTTCAGTATCATTATGAATACATTTAAGGATTATGGTAGTCCTCTCTCTTGAGGGAATCACAGCAGAATAACAACTAAGCTAATGTGAAAAAGACAGACACTTGCAACAATACCAAGAAAATGCAAGGCTTCCATAGAGGTTATAAAAAAAAAGGGATACTTTCATCCAAAATATCTTTAATAATGGTTTCAAAATTATTTGATGCTTTATTTTTCTTCTTTTTAAACAGAGACTTGCTAAATAACATCCATAGCCTTCCTACATTAATTTAAGGGTTTCTAAAGGCTTTTACTCCTTTAGTTGATGTTCAGGGTTTGTGAGCACATAAATTGGGCTCTAGCTCAGAATAATGATTATTCCCACTGTATTACTGTATAGATGGTCAAACAGCCTAAGGCTACAAAAACAAGTGGAAGGATTTACAACTTGGAAATAAAACATTCCATACATAAGATTCATTTACAAAACAAAAAATGCACACGTGAACAATTAAACAGATCTCCAAAGCATCGACTAGAATAAAAAACCTAAAAACAGGGGATATATTTGCTACTTACCAAATACAAAAATACCAATATATGTGAAAACTGCATGAATAACTTGTTCTGGTCACACTGTGTGTTTACTGGCAAAACTACATTTATACTTTTGTAGGGGAATTATACACTCATTGCCATGCATACAAATAAATAGGCCTATGCAGTCCGATCCCTATGTTCTGATTGAATAAAGTAGATATTTATTAAAAGTCATAACTGTTACGCATATAGTGGTTGGTTCTTTATACTACTGTTTTCTAAATATTTGATTACATTCGTTTTTATATACCGCCTTCCTTGAAGTGTTAAATATCGTAATATAATTAAATCTAACCATTGTATCCTAATATGTAAGGTAACGCAGATTTTTGCAATAATTCCCCCACATATTCACCATGCTACTGTAGTGAAACAGCAGCATGGAACACAGATATAGAACCTGCTTCTTTGTGCACTGATCATCCAGTCACTGACAAAAACACGGGATCAACACATGCTCATGATTACATGTGTCCACATTGACACTCTGCCCCATCACTTGTTTTTCAGTCCCCTCCATCTGTATATTCCTCACGTCTGGTCAGCTCTTGATTTGAGAGGCAGCTGGTTATTGATAATGTTGCCTACAGACAGCAAAACACCCAGCACACTGTTAAGGCAGAATGTCAAATACATGTTTCTAGACTAGCTTAGAGTAGAAGATGGTGTCAAATCTCGGACTCAGTTTAACTTGTTTTCACAGCACGCTATCATGGTGTCACAACCTTAAGGAGAACCCAAATGCAGCACTCGAGAAACCAAGGAGAATTGGTAATAAACTTTATTGGAGATTCCACTGGATCTGAGGAATACCAACCGAGCAGTTTAACACACCGGAGGACAGCGGGCAGAAGGTGAGTCAGGGAGGCAGAGAGTCAGGGAGTAAGCGAGGCGGTCAGCGTAGATACAGGCAGGGTCGGATAACAGGCCAGACAGGATAGTCGAGGGACAGGCAGGATCAGGGAACAGGCAGAGCAGGCAGATCGAGGACAGGCAGGGTCGGAACCGGGTAGGCAATCTAGTATCAAACGCGGGAAAGACAAGCATGAGGCAAAGTACAATCTGGCAAAGAGTGTGTGTAAGGTGCGGGTTTAAATACTGGCAGAAGCTAATGGGTGCAGAAGAGAAAGAGAGTGAGCTAACGAGTGGGTGTGGAAAACAGGTGAGACAGGTGAATGGAAAACTACTGGTGAATGATGGAGCAGACTATGACAGAACCCCCCCTTAATGGACGGCCCCTGACGTCCCTAAATGCTAATCTACAGAGGAGGGTGGGAGGTGGAATTAATACTCATCTGAAAAAGTTATTTCCACCTCCCGCTCCTGCCCCCTGTGGGAATCTGCGTCCTCATCAGAAGCCGGCCCCTCGCTGTCCTCCTCTGAAGAGCTGACGGTAAGAGGAGAGACTCTCCCTGTGTCTCTGCCCGTCGACGTGACGGTCTTAGACGGTTGCTCGGGATTACGCCGATGGAACTCCCTGATGAGCCGGGGGTCCAACACATGACGAGCTGGAACCCAAGCCCTCTCCTCAGGGCCGTAACCCTCCCAGTCCACCAGGTACTGGACTCCTCTTCCTCTGCGACGGGAACGATGAAGTCGTCGGAGAGTGTACATAGGCCCGCCGTCAATCATCCGGGGGGGGTGGTGGGGGAGGGACCGCAGGAACCAAGGCACTCTCTCGGACAGGTTTGATCCTGGAAACGTGGAAAGTGGGATGGATCCGCAGAGTCCGAGGCAGTCTTAGCCTTACTGCTGCGGGATTGATTATCCTGACAATCTCAAAAGGTCCAATGAATCTAGGTGCAAGCTTCTTCGAATCCACCCGTAAAGGAATATCCCGGGAGGTAAGCCATACCTTTTGGCCCACCTGGTAGACAGGTGCTTTGGAACGTCGGCGGTTGGCAGAGGAGGCGTACCGGTTGGCCGAACAAACGAGAGTTCTCCGGGCTTGATTCCAGGTCCGTCGACAACGACGGATGAAAGCCTGGACGGACGGAACAGTAACCTCCCTCTCCAGGTCCGGAAACAGAGGGGGTTGAAACCCGTAAGCACACTGAAATGGGGACAGCTTGGTGGCCGAACTGACCAGAGTGTTGTGGGCGTACTCGACCCAGAGCAGTTGTTTAGACCAGGCCACTGGGTGCTTGGAGACAATACAGCGTAAGGTCGTCTCCATCTCCTGGTTCTTTCTTTCTGTCTGACCGTTGGATTGCGGATGGAAACCGGATGACAGACTGACCGTGGCCCCAAGGAGCGTGCAGAATTCCCTCCAGAACACCGAGGTAAATTGAGTAGGTAGGCAGCCCATAATCAGTAGGCAGCCCATGGAGCTGGAACACATGGAGCAGGACCAGCTCCGCCGTCTCTTTAGCTGAGGGGAGCTTGGGTATCGGCACAAAATGAGCCATCTTACTGAATCGGTCTACCACCGTCAAGATGGCAGTGTGTCCGTTGGACGGTGGCAGAACAGTAACAAAGTCCAGAGAAATGTGAGACCAGGGGCGATGAGGGATAGGCAGAGGTCGTAGGAGACCAGCAGGAGCTTGGTGAGAAGACTTGTTTTGATTGCAAACAGGGCAGGCATTAACACATTCCCTGGTGTCCTCCTTAAGTGTTGCCCACCAGAACCTTTGCTGGACTACCTCCCATGTACATTGGATCCTAGGATGGCAGGTGAGTCTGGAGTTATGAGCCCACTGGATAACATCAGACCTCAACGTCTGCGGAACGAACAGGCGGTTCGGAGGACAGGCACTGGGTCCCGGCTGGTCCTGCTGGGCGGCCTTGACCCTCTCCTCCACCTCCCAGATGAGGGCGGCGACGAGCTGAGGAGTCGGAAGGATGGTGTCCAAGCCCCTGGGAATGTTACCTCCCTCTCCAAACTGACGAGAAAGAGCGTCAGCCTTAATGTTCCGAGAACCAGGGCGGTAGGAGAGGGAGAAATTGAACCGAGTGAAAAAAAGGGCCCATCTAGCTTGTCGGAAATTCAGTCTGCGGGCCGACCGGATGTACTCCAAATTCTTGTGGTCGGTCCACACCAGGAAAGGTTGACTGGTCCCCTCGAGCCAGTGACGCCACTCCTCCAGAGCCAACTTCACTGCTAGCAGCTCCCGGTTTCCCACATCATAATTTCTTTCCGCTGGAGTCAAACGCCTTGAAAAGAAAGCACAGGGATGGAGTTTTTGGCTGTTCATTGCTCGCTGAGACAGGATGGCTCCCACCCCCATATCAGAAGCATCTACCTCCAAAACAAACTGTCTTACAGGATCGGGTACTCGGAGGATGGGGGCGGAGGTGAACCTGGCCTTAAGGTTCTGGAACGCCTCCTCAGCCGAGGAGGACCACTGGAACATAACCTTAGAGGAGGTCAGGGCTGTGAGAGGAGCGACCAAGGTACTGTATCCACGAATGAACCTCCGGTAGGGGTTTCACCAACTAATCGACTAGTCGACTACCTTTACCACTAGTCGGCGATGTAGGCCCTAGTCAACTAGTCGTGAAAAAAAGGGAGGTAAACGAGGTGCTGCAAAATGCTCCAAAACACGTCCGACATTCTTATGCACTGCGTGCTAATAGAACCGTCCTTAGGGCAGCAGAGCGGAAACGGTGGAAATCCAAACACCGTGACGACCTCCTAACCTATCAGGCTCTCCTCTCCTCTTTCTCTGCTTCGATCTCTCAGGCAAAAAGCACTTTCTTTCAAGATAAGATCCAATCTTCCTATTCCAATCCCAAAAAACTATTTTCCATCTTCTCCACCCTCTTGGACCCTCCCAAAGCCCCTCCCCCCTCCTCACTTCTGTCAAGCGACTTTGTTATCCACTTTGAAAAAAAGGTTGATGATATTCGCTCTTCTTTTTCTGACTCACCTTTACTCACCGCTGGGTCACCAGACCCTCCTTCCACCAACCACACTAACCTCCTTTTCCCCTCTCTCTCCAAGTGAGGTTCTTACCCTCATTACCTCTGCCCGCCCTACCACCTGTCCTCTGGACCCTATCCCTTCAAACCTCCTTCAGACTATCGCTCCTGATATTCTACCGTTCCTCTCCCATTTCATCAACACTTCTCTAACTTCTGGTCACTTTCCAAACAGTCTCATGGAGGCAAGAGTAAACCCTCTCCTAAAGAAACCCACTCTCAACCCGTCTGATGTTATAAACTATAGGCCTGTCTCTCTACTCCCGTTCCTGTCTAAAACACTTGAACGCGCTGTCTTTAAACAACTCTCCTGTTATCTCCATCAGAACAACCTTCTGGATCCGCACCAGTCTGGTTTCAACGCAGGTCACTCGACAGAAACTGCTCTCATTGCTGTCACTGAGGAACTGCACACTGCCAAAGCAGCATCCCTCTCCTCTGTCATCATCCTGTTGGACCTGTCTGCTGCATTCGACACGGTGAACCATCAGATCCTCCTTCGCACTCTCCAAAAACTTGGAGTTTCAGGCTCTGCACTTTCCCTCCTCACCTCATACCTCAAAGACCGCAGCTACAGGGTTACTTGGAGAGGGTCAGAGTCCGACCCTTGTCAATTAACTACAGGGGTCCCTCAGGGCTCTGTTCTTGGTCCCCTCCTCTTCTCCCTGTACACTAACTCGCTCGGATCAGTCATTAGCCCGCATGGTTTTCATACCACTGCTACGCTGACGACACCCAATTAATTCTGTCCTTTCCCTGCTCAGAAACCCAGGTCGTCGCACGCATCTCTGCTTGTCTAGCTGACATCTCTCAGTGGATGTCTGCTCATCACCTCAAGCTCAACCTTGACAACTCTGAGCTGCTTTTCCTTCCGGGAAAAGATTGTCCCACTCTTGACCTGACTATCAACATCGGCACCTCTGTTGTTTCCCCGACTCAGACTGCAAGGAATCTGGGTGTGATCCTAGATAACAACCTGTCCTTCACTGCAAACATCGCTGCTACAACCCGTTGCTGCAGATACACGCTTTACAACATCAGGAAGATACGTCCCCAGCTGACACAGAAAGCGACGCAGGTTCTGGTCCAGGCTCTCGTCATCTCACGCCTAGACTATTGCAACTCCCTCCTGGCTGGTCTACCTGCATGTGCCATCCGACCTCTGCAGCTCACCCAGAATGCAGCGGCTCATTTGGTCTTCAACCTTCCTAAATTTTCACACACCACTCCACTCCTCCGCTCCCTTCACTGGCTTCCGGTAACTGCTAGAATCCACTTCAAGACACTGGTACTTGCTTACCATGCTGCGAATGGATCTGGCCCTTCGTACATCCAGGACATGGTTAAACTGTATACCCCAGCGCGTGCACTACGCTCTGCATCAGCCAAATGACTCGCTGCACCCTCGCTGCGAGGGGGACCCAAGTTCCCATCAGCAAAAACACGTGGGTTTGCTATCCTGGCTCCAAAATGGTGGAATGAGCTCCCCATTGACATCAGGACAGCAGAAAGCTTACACACCTTCCAGGGCAGACTGAAAACGCATCTCTTTCGACTCCACCTCGAGCGATAGAATTATCAACAAATCACTTATATACTAATAAAGGACTGGCTTATCTAAAGCCAGTTGAGTAGCACTTGAAATGTTTGGCTCTATGAAACCTGATGTACTTATATGATTCTGTTTTCTTCAAGGTTGTGTCTTCCTGGTCGAATGTACTTATTGTAAGTCGCTTTGGATAAAAGCGTCAGCTAAATGCAATGTAATGTAATGTAATGTATGGCAGTACTTCAACAAAGATGTAACCAACTCCACAGTGTAGTGTCAGTTGTGTACAGCTGTACTGAAGTGCAACAAAAATACATCTGCTATGCGCAACCATCTGAAGATGAGACACCCGCTGCCGACAGCTAGCACTAGCAGTAATGCTAGCACCAGTGAGCAACGGACCGGCGTCAGCACAGGCCAGAGGCAGACGAGCAGCAAGAAAAACGGGTCTACAGTGATGCGGATGATGATCTACGGGATTACTGCCAGCGGACACTGCATATCCCCACAATGGATAACCCACTGGAGTGGTGGGCAGAAAACGTGCACTGCGTCCCCCGTTTAGCCAAGCTTTCGAGGAGCTACCTGGCTATTCCAGCCACAGGCACCTCGAGTGAGAGGGTTTTTTCCCTGGCAGGCAACACTGTCACCCGAAAGCGGTCAAGCCTCCTTCCCTCACATGTCGATGCGTTGGTGTTCCTCAACGCAAACCAAACATCTGGAAAGGTGGACGTTATCGTGGAGGACAGCGAGTAAAGTGTTGCGCAATGCGCTGTTGCGCACTGGATTTACGTGGCATTTCAGTAAACAGAGTTTTTTGCTGTAGATTTTGGTGAGTCCAGTTACTGTTTGTTATTTACTAAGTCCAGTTACTGTTTGTTATTTACTCAGCCATGTAACACAAATTAAAATGCAGTGTTTAATGTAACTGTATGAGTTCCAATATAAAATACAGTTGTACACCTCTCTTTGTGTGTCTTTATTATGACGTATCGACTAGTCGACTGCTATTTTGAAAAACGTGTCGACTAGTAAATATTGGTAGTTGTGAAACCCCTAACCTCCGGTAGAAGTTGGCGAACCCGAGGAACTGTTGTAGCCACTTCCGGGATTCTGGAACCGGCCAGGAAGTGACTGCATCAAC